TCACACCATTCAATCTTAAGCCGGCTACACACGGTCCGGCAGGCCTGTAAGTTCGAACTGGAACAGTTAGCCTGAAGGCCGGTCGCCGGGGAGACTGATGAGTGATGACCCTCCAAATGTTCAGGCAAATCTAAAATATTCTTCAGTCTCAATTATCATGTAGCGTTAACTTTTTTTGAGAACAGAATATACTTCGTATAAGAAGGATCAATTTCCTTCCATTTTTCTACCAATTTCAAATACGCCGCTTCTTTCTTGCCACGGTCATGAAAATTTTTCGATTTGACTTGCCGCAGAGTCGCTATGATAAATCGCGATAAATTTCAATTCTATTTCGTATACAACATAGCATAACAAGCTCACTACTCACTACTGAACTATCTGAACTGACGGTCCGACGGTCGACCGTGATATACACACGTTCAGACTTGCCTTTGAGTACGTCAGGCTGGCCGGATGAACGAACATATTTTTGATTTTTCTCCGGCCGCCTGAACAGTCTTAACTGACAGATGGACCGGAATATATACACGTTCAGGCGACCGGTCTTCAGTCGGACTGTTCAGTTCGAACTGACAGGCCTGCCGGACCGTGTGTAGCCGGCTTTACTGAACGAACCCGGGTATGTTATACTACACATTTTTGCCCCTTTCAACAGGTACAGAAAGTCTACTTTTTTCTCGTCACAGAAAAAATAACTATATTATTGTCCAGAAGCAGAAAGATAAGTACAGGGTGTCCCATTTTGGTTATACATAATAAGGGGTAACTCGGTTGCTGTAGAAGGATGCGGTTTTCGCGAACGTTGACTTTCTCTTTGTCAAACAAACAAAAACGTTTTATTTTTTAGATGTAAGGTGTTTTTGAAAATGTTGCATTTTGAGACACCCCTTGTATCTCGGCTATCTCATAAGTGATGAAAGGTGACATCGAGTTTTTAAAGATCTTTCTACGTAGATTCCATAGTGGCTTCTACTGATTTCAATGATATATAGAGTTTGGTAGGTTTATCTCCAACAGTTTTCAATAAAACAAACTATAAACTATATGTGTTCCAGTAATACGGACAATCTGTTAGAAAGAGACCTTTCTCAATCTCCTTACAAATATAAAGACTTTTCTAACCTAACTGTTTCTTATGACAAAAACACATATAAACACTATAACATATACTCGAGTGACAGAAATCATAACTCAAGCAGTGCCCTTATAGGAGGAGGTGTCCTTATAGCCGTAGGTACTAAAAAACCTAAAAAGCTATATGTTGTACTCTGAATGATGTCGAATAGCTATTTGTAATGATTGGTTCAGGCTCTGATGCATTCATACTGACAGTTGCCTATTTTTCTTTCTGTACTTGGTCAACAGAGGAAAATTGTGAATTCCGGCTGTGGTTCTGTGGTTGTTGGATAACGTAATCAGGTTGGAGACAATCAGGCCTATGATGTATCATTTTCTGTTATTTTAACAGTAACGTTAAGTTATCTGCCACTGTTTATTCTACACGTAAAAATAGAGACCGGTAAAGATTTTGAGTTATAACACAACTGTTAAAATAACAGGAGAGGATACATTATAGGCGTGATAGTTACCTACATTATTTTCTGACGCATGCGCATTTTACAATTTATTCCGGGTGAACAATGTCGCTAATTACAATGGTAAGACATTATATTTAATATTGACCACTCTGTAACTTCCTTGGTATCCGTATAAGTGATTGAGCATATTATTGGTTCCAGCTGACAAGTATCATCCACCATTGACTTCTGATATTCAGAGTGGTGTAAATAATACAAATTCTAGTGGTCCTCAGGGTGATAATTTTTATTACGATTTCAAATCAGCTGACTGATAATACTGCTGAGTGACTGTTCACTGTTCGGGTCAATTGAATTGGGAAAAGTGTATCGATTAAAAAAAAAAAAAAAGGCAGGCTGATTTTTTCAGATGTGATTGACACTGTGTCCTGAGTATACAGTCAAAAAATCACACTCGAAAGGCTTGTGCGTTCGGCCCTATATCGGCCCTTTTCTTATATATTTAGTTGCCTTGAATCGAATGCATTTTATACATTTTCCAATGACTGATTTAACAGCTTTTTTGGCATTTATTATCCGAAACTGTTTTCTTGTATATGCCAGTGTGAGCTGGTTTCCTCCATGTAAAGTTTGATTGTGAGCGTCGAGAATTATGAGCTTGGTGATATGGCTTTTGTAAGGTACGATCTTCGCATGCTTGGTTTCGTATGGTAGATGTGACTTTTCTAATCTTGCGCCCATTCTCAGCATACCCTTGTGGTCTAATATTCGGTTGAGGTTGATGATTTTGCTATTGCTGTTGACAGGATTCTTTTCTTGAAGTGACTTTATTTCTTCTCTGAAATGACAACGTTGTTCCTGTTTAACTACTAATTCTAGAGTAGTGTTGAGTTCGTCAACCTGTAGTGGACCTTCTCTGTGCCAGTTTTCTTTGAGCATTCGACGATTGTACGTTAGAACTCGAATCATCTTGGTAAGTGACGAAAATCTGCTAGTGATTTTCATCTGGTTAGTATCCTCTGCCGTAATTTTAGGGACTTGTTCGCAACAGTGTCAATATGTTCAGTAAATGTTAATTCTGAATCAAAGAAAATTCCAAGGTCTCTGATAGTCTCAACTCTCATAATTTCATCGTTCTTAAGAAAATAAGTATGAATCTAAGGTGACTTCTTCCTTGAAAAGGTTATAATTTTACATTTTCCAATATTCAAATAAAGTTTGTTATTTGGTTTTGGAATAAACGGACCCAAGATTTTTGTCACGCACCCCAGAGCCGTGACAATAGGTAAGCGCGTAGTTTTTAAGTTAGTTTTAGTCTAAATAAGAATTTATGTACAGTTAAGTTAAAGCAATAAGTGCATATTATAAAGTCAATTTCTTCAATTAAAGCTGTTATTGTTAGTAAAATGAGTTTTTAGTGGAATAGCGGCGGTGACAATATTATACGTAACAACATAAGATTCTAATGGCACTTACTTTTATAATTGATTGCATAGGTACTATTTTATATAAAAATTATTATCAATTCAATAAAAAAACCTTCTTACGCAACATTTCAGACTATTAAATCAATTTACTACAAAATCAATTAAATGTACTATGTAACCAGTAATAGAATAATCAGATCCGTATCCCCTTTCTAATGAAAAAAAGCGAATAACTCCATAAGAAGTACATTGCTAATTATTATTGTTCTTGAAAAAATCTAGGTTACTATAATACACAGTTAGGCTACCAATGGAATTCTGAAATGACGCGGGATAAGTAAGTGAGTATATTAATTATGTATAAACTTAAGTGCACCGCTTGGCTACTGTTTCTAACCTTGACTTAAATCACTTACTTGATATGTATTTGCAAGCAGGGTTCGAATAAATATTAATCATAGAGTGAACGTAGCATTTTTTAACCATCAATCAGATTATATGGGATTTCCCAAATCCCAACAATGGCTTACTTTGTTGTCTGAACAAGCATCACTTATCTTCATAATCCTATCTGCCAGAATTTGTCAACCCGGTTAAATTTGCATTCAAAGAAATTCAATGCGTGGGCAGTCGAACATTTATGAAAAAAATTACCTGAAGATCAAAAAGAACTTTTTTTAGAAATTGGACATAAACGAGTATAAAAGGAAAATATTCATTCGGTGGGAATGTGAGGATGAAAATGTATCCCTAATAATTGGGAACCAACGACGCAAAATGAAAGAAAGGAAAAATACTTGTTGACGGCAAACAACGTATAAAATATTTATACTTAGGTACCTACCTATAGTACCAGCTGAAAGAACAAAGATAGTTGAGAAGGAGCAATTTCAAAATGTGTCTGTTTAAAGACAAGGTCTCACTATATTCAATTAGCGTTTCTCGATCAAGCCCGCTGATTATCAGGGTTAAAACCTCAGTGATACGTCACGCTCTGTCATGGTTTGATCTTCGACCTTTAAAAATTACACCACGTGACATTTTGATTTTTTTCTCAAATACTTATAGAGAGATTGGATATTATCGAGGAAAACAGAAAGCCTAACACTAAATAATTTCAAACCGACGACGATCCAATGGAAAATATCTATTGAAAAAACTAACAGGCAAGAATTTTCACATGAAAAAGTTTTGAATTTCAATTCCTAAGCTAAATTTCTTGGAGCTTCGAATGAAAAGATTTCGAGGGGGATGTAGTTGTAGTAAAAGACTATGAATCCTCGGAGTTTGGTCTCATTTGGAATTATGAGTCCTCTGTAAAAGAAAATTGTTTGGTAGGTGACAATATAAGCTCCTCAAATCTTGCATTGAAAATCGATTGGGCGGCGCGAAAGTATCAATTTGAACCACAATCCTAAATATGGCAAAATTTCAAATATCCAGATTTTTGATTAGAGGAATTTGTAAGGTTTTTAAACACTTTAAAAATTCATATTTCGAAATGCGAAGTTGTAGTGGGAGGAATATAAGCCATACAAATCCTGCATTCGTAAATTGTTAAAAATGATATGATATTGATCATTTTATCATTTTAAAAATTTTCTACTGGATTATTTTCAAAGATAACACATTTGAATTGGCAACAATGTTCATTATAGAGTTTGGTCAGCAAAAGTATAATTTTGAGATGAAATCGCTCACGGAATCAACCAGGACAATAAGATATTTCAAGATTTCAAAAAAAGGGGGAAAGAGGGAAGTCTTCTAAAGGTAAAAGTTATTGCGGTCTTCTGAAGATATTAGTTTAACGTACATTTCAAAATCTAATGGTTGCAGTGAATAAACGTTATGAATTTTCGATTTTTTCTTCTTGAGAGATATATCTACACGGTGGCAACATCGTTTGACCCTTAACTTCTATTCAGGACCATAGCAAAATAAGGAAACTCGCCAGAAGAGAAACGAAAATCCGGTGGCTGCAGGAATGATATAATTCTCTTGTCGGCAGGGCGCTCAACATCAGTTCAATCTCGGCCGTGAAACGGACGCAGACTTTCAATTCGCGATCCTGCACGTATACGTTATCATTTTGTGTGATTTCTATTCGGTCGAGCCTTAGAAAAAATATACTTATTTAGATAAAGTAAGTAGGTAATGTGGATATTAATTTCTTTTATGCTCTAGCATGTCCAAATTTTTGGTAAATTAATTCATTTTTTGCGTAGAATGACGTCAAACGGGTCTAATAACTGCAACGCCAAAAAGAACAAATGCAATCAAGTGTTGCAAAGAACTTGGGACCAATTTGATGAAGTAGAGGCGCCCGGGACGCCCAAGACGCCTAGAACATCTACCACACCAGGTAATATATATACCTATATACAGGGTGTTTGGCGGAGGGTTAGCCAAACTTGGTGGGCGTATAGATAAGCCCATTTCGAAGATATTTTATTATTACACTTGTGCCCTTAAATAACTTTTTTTTTAATGTTTATGAAAATGTTTGTTTCGTGTGTTTTTGGTCTCTAGGGTATCCCGAGGGGTAGGTATTCTTGATCTAATAAAGTAATAATTAGGCACAAATATTATCGAAATATTTAGCATTTTCATGAACATTAGAAAAAAAGTTACAAAAGTTTGAAGGTCCATTTTCGAAAATTCTTCAGAATAATACAAAAGCAATAATGATATAAAAAAAACGGCGACCTTAAGGGCACGAGTGTATTAATAAAATATCTTCAAAATGGGCTGATCTTTACGCCCACCAAGTTTGGCTAACCCTACACCAAACACCCCGTATATTTTTCAATTAAATAATTGCAATTTCACCGAATTTCCTAGAAACAACTAACCACAAATGGATTTCTGACGTTCTTTTGGAGTAATTAATTACTTACCGACCGCACGGAATGTGGATTTTTATATTTTGCGACAAATTTTTTATGTGCTTACTTTACAAAGACAATGCTCATTTATACTTCATTCCAAACAAATTTGCATGATTATTATTACCTTACTGGGCTTTTTTGAATTCCTATATTGCTTGCTCAATGATCCAGACAACAATTTTTCTCTTCTTGCTAAAAGCGTATTGTACAGACCATCGGAGGTACAGACTACAAGCCTACAAATATTTGAATTAATTTTTGGGAAAAAAATGTCCGCGGTGCTGCTGGAGTAAATTCATTTAGTTGGATGTTCTCATTATCAGAAAAATTTGCAACTTCAATTTTTGACTACCGTAACTTTGAATTTCAGTCAAAATTAAACAAAGAGGTTCTGTCAAAATATCGCTTTCTTTATCGGGCTTTATCCTTATTAATTTTATGAAACTAGATTGCTTTGTCTATTTTTTCTTATCAGCAATTTCAAAATCCGCTGGAAAATAACCCAACAACTATAAAAAATCTTAATTTTACTATGCAAATAATACTCAAGCAGGGAAACATTTTGTTTTTCAATCAAGTTAGCCATGCATTTGACGTTAGAATAAAAACCTTTTCGTTTGTTCAAACCGGAAGTGACTCGTAACGGAATTTGGTTTCAAAGAATTAGAAAAATTGCCTCAGTTAAGGGGGCGTTAATGACGTTTAAATCCGAAGATAAATCTGTCAGTTCTGTGCTCTGATTCGTTGATTTTTTAAAATTCGTCTGCAATGAGAAAAAACCAGATGTCAAATTTTTGACATAACGCTTCCTAGACAAATAACTACCTAATTAATGATTGTCATTGTCATTAATTATTGTCATTTCAAACCATGAATTCATTTTAATAGATCTAGACATTTTTTCAGGTTTTATTATAATTTTTTTTCAATTTTCCAATTTCAAAAATGTCCCAATGAAACCTATTGAGGTTTTTGAGATTTCTTTTTTTAATTTTTTTTTTTTTAATTTTTTTTTTTTTTTTTTAATTTTTTTTTTTTTTTATTATGTAAAGCAAAATGAGCTCTAACCAATCAATGAAAAAAAAGATGGCGTTCCCATTTAAAAAAAAGATCAATAACGTCATATCTTGAAGAGGAATTATTTTTTTTCCTATATCTCTGCGTAACTTTTCCCTACACGTCTTCTTATACCTATTTCCAAAATTTCATCAAATTCAATATCTTTTGCTGATATAGGATTTGAAATGGTCACATTCCAAAATTAATTCATCGGTTTTTTTGTCATAAAATTGTGACAGTTTTACCGCTTCTCTTGAAATTTCAATTTCACATGGTCAGACATTTTTTCAAAAAAACCGATTCTTTCAAATATTTTGTTACCCGTTACCTTCAAGGAAAGTTACTTTGTCTTTTCACTCGTGTCCTAATATCGCGGTACTCCTTTAAAACAGATTTTTCTCTGGATTTTGAGTCATAAAAATCAAAATCGTCTCTTTTTCTCTTATATAGGCCATTAATGATTTAATAGTTATTTATCTAACGAATGCGGAAAGTGATACTTTACCGCACGCAACGGCAGTTGATCGGTCAAGCCTTTAAGGGCGGTAAAGGCACTTTCCGCATGTGTTTAGGTACAAAATTTTACCTATGAACATCTACATCTCCAAAACAAGGCATTTATAAAATTAATCAATAAATCATATCAATTAATGAAATTAGATTAGATTTAGAAATGATCAAAAATCCATTTTCTGAAAAAGAAAGTATTTTCAATCATAAATACCAGTCTACTTTACCGCATACTATGCGGTAAAGTTAACTTTACAGCATAATAACAAATAAGAGCAAAAGTACCGGCACTTAAGGTATCAAGGCTCATTTGGATTTCTGTATCCACAATTTAAAGCTGTAACTGCGTCTTCACGTGAAGACCAACGTGTTTTTGATAAGCTTTTCAGTACTTTATGATCGGAACTTAAATTTGAATTCATTTCCCAACGGTGCATTGATGAGGAAAAGAAATCGTATATTGAGGTTTTGAACAAAGTCAAAGTAAATTGTGACATTTAAGTTGCATTCTATCGTTACCCGCCTATATTTTTTTTTTCCATTTTTTTTCTATAAATTTTATTTTAAATTGGGCGTGGCTTAGCGATGAGGCCCCTTTGGCGCCGAGGCCCTGGGCTCGGGCCCAGCGGGCCCATGCCTTAAGACGGCCCTGGTTAGAAAATTGTTTAAATCGGACAATACACTAAAGTCAAATGTGGCACGAAAATTTGAATATTGAGTATTGCATGCGCAATAGGCATTAATTCAAACTGTCCAAAAATTAACGAAAAATTCCCTAGAACTCGAGTCATGTAACCAGAAATTCCACTGTTGGAGAAATCTTTCTTTTTCTAGAATCACGCAGAAGAGAAGCACGTTTATAGCTTTCTTCTGAGGCATTTTGCCAATTTAAGTGAATATTTGGAAAGTAAATTGAGTCTTAAATGGTGGCTACAGGGGCGGATGGGCAACTTTGAAACGGCCCGGGACGGTTTTTGCTCAAGCGGCCCCGCGTGCTCACAGGAGGTGAATAACGCTGGGTAGGGTATTAAATAGTCTACTTTTTTATAAAAAAAAAACCTCCTTATATTACTCAAAAATACGAAAGCGTAGAGCCATGCTGATAGGTATTGTAAAATATTTTCATGTTCAAGTTTACACTTTTTCTGTTTAATCGGACATTACCAAATTTAAGTACCGCAATTTGGGTTAGTTCGCAATTTTATTCAGACATTACAGGTCTATGTTTATTTTTCGAAAACAAAAATTGCGATTTTTTTTTTCCGAATGCTTTCATTTCAAAAATCAACCATTTGGAACACGACTTTGAATAACTTCTTTCGAAAATGAATAATTTTGAAGCATGTCCAAACTAACCGGGTTATTATTGGTAATATCTGATTGAAATAGCAAACTAACCCCCAAACTAACCTAAACAGGTTATAACATCGGTAAGTTTAAAAATGTCTGATTAAAATTGAAAACTAACCCAAACTAACCGGGTTATTCTCGGTAGGTTTGAGTTTGGTAATGTTTGATTACAATGGATTCTAAACTAAAACAAATTTTGAAAACAAAATGCTTATGTTCGATTGAAATTGCAAACTTACCCAACCTAACCGAGTTGTTATCGGTAAGTTTGGTAATTTCTGATTGAAAGTGCAAACTAACCCGGATTATTATCAGTAAGTTTTAATGTTTGATTATAATTGCAAACTAACCCAAACTAACCGGGTTAGTATTGGTAAGTTTGGAAATATCTTATTGAAATTGCAAACTAACAGAAACTAACCGGCTTATTATTGGTAACTTTGATTATATCTGATAAAAATTCCTAACTTAGCGGGTTATTATAGGTAAGTTTGGTAATGTCCTCGGTAATGTCTGATTGAACAGAAAAAGTGTAAGTTTACAGAGAAAGTATAAATTTACAGAAAAAGGGTAAATTTGCAGAAAAAGTTTAAATTTTAATGAAAATATTTTCCAATATGAGATGGCAGCTCAACGCCTTGTGAAAAACGACAAAAAACGAAGACTGCTTTCTGTTGAATTGGCAGAGTGTTGTCGCGTTACGCCTTAAGTGATTTTTTTCTATCAAGTTGCGGCGTATTGTTTGTTATCGTATATATATTTTTTCCTGAACCGGCCCACTTGGCTCTCCGGCCCACCGGGAATCGTCCCGGTGTCCCGCCTGAGCCCATCCGCTCCTGGGTGGCTATTATTCTTATATAGCACCCCAGCACGTATTTGCTAATTTAACAAGATTTCAGTACGTAAAATCCCAAATTCTGGAGGATAAGTTTGATTCGTGTCACGTGTTGAGTGTCGAAAAGGCCAATCCACATTGGTAAGTTCTTATTATTCATCATTTTATTTTGTATTCTGACCCCTGTTAAAGTTTTATGTCCTCAAAAACGTAATTGATTGCCGTACTTACCTCAATTCTTGTTGAAATCGAGCTTTCATAGCGTGAACTCTCTCTTTTAGGCCTTTTCTTATATTGGGTAGCGTTACATCCCTTTCTGCTGTTGCTGTCGTTAGATGCACAAAGGCACCTGATTGCTGAATTGCTGATGCTCAATCCTGAACCTGATAGATTGCTTGTGGAGCTTTTGGGGCCTGTGATTCCTGTGAATCTCAATCGTCCCCCACGAGGTTCCTAGTAGTATAATTCCATCAACTAACTACATAATCAGGTTTGCGTATTGTTGTGCCGTTTTGGGAACCATCCACCCCGTCTGTAATAAGGGTTTCACCATCTCCTTGGGAGCTGGAGCCTTTTACCTGCAACCACTTGTACCTACTCTTCAATAATATAGCCAGCTGAATTACCTCTACCTTTCTTCAAAATTACCTTATAATCCTTTAGGTTTAAGTTAAATTAATTTTACGTTTACTTACCATATTATTTTGATTTCCTGGAACA